TGTGTCTGATGATATAATGGTTTTATACAAAATTATTGATTGTGTAATGTTTTATGATATAACAGTTTTTAAAAAAATTTGTGTCTGATGATATAATGGTTTTATACAAAATTATTGATTGTGTAATGTTTTATGATATAACAGTTTTTAAAAAAATTTGTGTCTGATGATATAATGGTTTTATACAAAATTATTGATTGTGTAATGTTTTATGATATAACAGTTTTTAAAAAAATTTGTGTCTGATGATATAATGGTTTTATACAAAATTATTGATTGTGTAATGTTTTATGATATAACAGTTTTTAAAAAAATTTGTGTCTGATGATATAATGGTTTTATACAAAATTATTGATTGTGTAATGTTTTATGATATAACAGTTTTTAAAAAAATTTGTGTCTGATGATATAATGGTTTTATACAAAATTATTGATTGTGTAATGTTTTATGATATAACAGTTTTTAAAAAAATTTGTGTCTGATGATATAATGGTTTTATACAAAATTATTGATTGTGTAATGTTTTATGATATAACAGTTTTTAAAAAAATTTGTGTCTGATGATATAATGGTTTTATACAAAATTATTGATTGTGTAATGTTTTATGATATAACAGTTTTTAAAAAAATTTGTGTCTGATGATATAATGGTTTTATACAAAATTATTGATTGTGTAATGTTTTATGATATAACAGTTTTTAAAAAAATTTGTGTCTGATGATATAATGGTTTTATACAAAATTATTGATTGTGTAATGTTTTATGATATAACAGTTTTTAAAAAAATTTGTGTCTGATGATATAATGGTTTTATACAAAATTATTGATTGTGTAATGTTTTATGATATAACAGTTTTTAAAAAAATTTGTGTCTGATGATATAATGGTTTTATACAAAATTATTGATTGTGTAATGTTTTATGATATAACAGTTTTTAAAAAAATTTGTGTCTGATGATATAATGGTTTTATACAAAATTATTGATTGTGTAATGTTTTATGATATAACAGTTTTTAAAAAAATTTGTGTCTGATGATATAATGGTTTTATACAAAATTATTGATTGTGTAATGTTTTATGATATAACAGTTTTTAAAAAAATTTGTGTCTGATGATATAATGGTTTTATACAAAATTATTGATTGTGTAATGTTTTATGATATAACAGTTTTTAAAAAAATTTGTGTCTGATGATATAATGGTTTTATACAAAATTATTGATTGTGTAATGTTTTATGATATAACAGTTTTTAAAAAAATTTGTGTCTGATGATATAATGGTTTTATACAAAATTATTGATTGTGTAATGTTTTATGATATAACAGTTTTTAAAAAAATTTGTGTCTGATGATATAATGGTTTTATACAAAATTATTGATTGTGTAATGTTTTATGATATAACAGTTTTTAAAAAAATTTGTGTCTGATGATATAATGGTTTTATACAAAATTATTGATTGTGTAATGTTTTATGATATAACAGTTTTTAAAAAAATTTGTGTCTGATGATATAATGGTTTTATACAAAATTATTGATTGTGTAATGTTTTATGATATAACAGTTTTTAAAAAAATTTGTGTCTGATGATATAATGGTTTTATACAAAATTATTGATTGTGTAATGTTTTATGATATAACAGTTTTTAAAAAAATTTGTGTCTGATGATATAATGGTTTTATACAAAATTATTGATTGTGTAATGTTTTATGATATAACAGTTTTTAAAAAAATTTGTGTCTGATGATATAATGGTTTTATACAAAATTATTGATTGTGTAATGTTTTATGATATAACAGTTTTTAAAAAAATTTGTGTCTGATGATATAATGGTTTTATACAAAATTATTGATTGTGTAATGTTTTATGATATAACAGTTTTTAAAAAAATTTGTGTCTGATGATATAATGGTTTTATACAAAATTATTGATTGTGTAATGTTTTATGATATAACAGTTTTTAAAAAAATTTGTGTCTGATGATATAATGGTTTTATACAAAATTATTGATTGTGTAATGTTTTATGATATAACAGTTTTTAAAAAAATTTGTGTCTGATGATATAATGGTTTTATACAAAATTATTGATTGTGTAATGTTTTATGATATAACAGTTTTTAAAAAAATTTGTGTCTGATGATATAATGGTTTTATACAAAATTATTGATTGTGTAATGTTTTATGATATAACAGTTTTTAAAAAAATTTGTGTCTGATGATATAATGGTTTTATACAAAATTATTGATTGTGTAATGTTTTATGATATAACAGTTTTTAAAAAAATTTGTGTCTGATGATATAATGGTTTTATACAAAATTATTGATTGTGTAATGTTTTATGATATAACAGTTTTTAAAAAAATTTGTGTCTGATGATATAATGGTTTTATACAAAATTATTGATTGTGTAATGTTTTATGATATAACAGTTTTTAAAAAAATTTGTGTCTGATGATATAATGGTTTTATACAAAATTATTGATTGTGTAATGTTTTATGATATAACAGTTTTTAAAAAAATTTGTGTCTGATGATATAATGGTTTTATACAAAATTATTGATTGTGTAATGTTTTATGATATAACAGTTTTTAAAAAAATTTGTGTCTGATGATATAATGGTTTTATACAAAATTATTGATTGTGTAATGTTTTATGATATAACAGTTTTTAAAAAAATTTGTGTCTGATGATATAATGGTTTTATACAAAATTATTGATTGTGTAATGTTTTATGATATAACAGTTTTTAAAAAAATTTGTGTCTGATGATATAATGGTTTTATACAAAATTATTGATTGTGTAATGTTTTATGATATAACAGTTTTTAAAAAAATTTGTGTCTGATGATATAATGGTTTTATACAAAATTATTGATTGTGTAATGTTTTATGATATAACAGTTTTTAAAAAAATTTGTGTCTGATGATATAATGGTTTTATACAAAATTATTGATTGTGTAATGTTTTATGATATAACAGTTTTTAAAAAAATTTGTGTCTGATGATATAATGGTTTTATACAAAATTATTGATTGTGTAATGTTTTATGATATAACAGTTTTTAAAAAAATTTGTGTCTGATGATATAATGGTTTTATACAAAATTATTGATTGTGTAATGTTTTATGATATAACAGTTTTTAAAAAAATTTGTGTCTGATGATATAATGGTTTTATACAAAATTATTGATTGTGTAATGTTTTATGATATAACAGTTTTTAAAAAAATTTGTGTCTGATGATATAATGGTTTTATACAAAATTATTGATTGTGTAATGTTTTATGATATAACAGTTTTTAAAAAAATTTGTGTCTGATGATATAATGGTTTTATACAAAATTATTGATTGTGTAATGTTTTATGATATAACAGTTTTTAAAAAAATTTGTGTCTGATGATATAATGGTTTTATACAAAATTATTGATTGTGTAATGTTTTATGATATAACAGTTTTTAAAAAAATTTGTGTCTGATGATATAATGGTTTTATACAAAATTATTGATTGTGTAATGTTTTATGATATAACAGTTTTTAAAAAAATTTGTGTCTGATGATATAATGGTTTTATACAAAATTATTGATTGTGTAATGTTTTATGATATAACAGTTTTTAAAAAAATTTGTGTCTGATGATATAATGGTTTTATACAAAATTATTGATTGTGTAATGTTTTATGATATAACAGTTTTTAAAAAAATTTGTGTCTGATGATATAATGGTTTTATACAAAATTATTGATTGTGTAATGTTTTATGATATAACAGTTTTTAAAAAAATTTGTGTCTGATGATATAATGGTTTTATACAAAATTATTGATTGTGTAATGTTTTATGATATAACAGTTTTTAAAAAAATTTGTGTCTGATGATATAATGGTTTTATACAAAATTATTGATTGTGTAATGTTTTATGATATAACAGTTTTTAAAAAAATTTGTGTCTGATGATATAATGGTTTTATACAAAATTATTGATTGTGTAATGTTTTATGATATAACAGTTTTTAAAAAAATTTGTGTCTGATGATATAATGGTTTTATACAAAATTATTGATTGTGTAATGTTTTATGATATAACAGTTTTTAAAAAAATTTGTGTCTGATGATATAATGGTTTTATACAAAATTATTGATTGTGTAATGTTTTATGATATAACAGTTTTTAAAAAAATTTGTGTCTGATGATATAATGGTTTTATACAAAATTATTGATTGTGTAATGTTTTATGATATAACAGTTTTTAAAAAAATTTGTGTCTGATGATATAATGGTTTTATACAAAATTATTGATTGTGTAATGTTTTATGATATAACAGTTTTTAAAAAAATTTGTGTCTGATGATATAATGGTTTTATACAAAATTATTGATTGTGTAATGTTTTATGATATAACAGTTTTTAAAAAAATTTGTGTCTGATGATATAATGGTTTTATACAAAATTATTGATTGTGTAATGTTTTATGATATAACAGTTTTTAAAAAAATTTGTGTCTGATGATATAATGGTTTTATACAAAATTATTGATTGTGTAATGTTTTATGATATAACAGTTTTTAAAAAAATTTGTGTCTGATGATATAATGGTTTTATACAAAATTATTGATTGTGTAATGTTTTATGATATAACAGTTTTTAAAAAAATTTGTGTCTGATGATATAATGGTTTTATACAAAATTATTGATTGTGTAATGTTTTATGATATAACAGTTTTTAAAAAAATTTGTGTCTGATGATATAATGGTTTTATACAAAATTATTGATTGTGTAATGTTTTATGATATAACAGTTTTTAAAAAAATTTGTGTCTGATGATATAATGGTTTTATACAAAATTATTGATTGTGTAATGTTTTATGATATAACAGTTTTTAAAAAAATTTGTGTCTGATGATATAATGGTTTTATACAAAATTATTGATTGTGTAATGTTTTATGGTANTAATATGTATTTAAACTGTAATTAAATTTAAATAAAATCTAGATAGAAAAAAACCTACTAACAAATCCTTATAGCACAAATTGCTCTTATTACGAGCGATCTAAAGAAAAATCTTTCGATGAATTATATACACGTCAGGTAAATATTTAATATTATATGAATAGTTTATAAACATTAATATTATTTCATATAGGCCTACCTATAGAAAATATTATAAGGCAGTTGATTGATTAATTTGATCGTTATATTTAATCGTTAGTAATCATTAACTTTTTATAATTATTACAAAAATTCCTTCGATTTTAAAGTGACTTCGGTTGTCATTTACCGGACTGTTTTAAATTTATTAATTTATTTACTCTATGGACAATTTATACTTATATTTAATATTAATTATTTGTAACCTTTATAATAACATTATAAATTTATGATTTATTATACTTATAGCGCTGCATACTCGATTGTCAGAAGGAGAAATGGTTGGAAAGTTGTGGATGCATCACAGGAGATTATCCTTTCGAAACGGATGAGACATTTTGTTCAGGACGTAATTAAAAATTTTAAGTTGCTAAATTCGAAAAAAAATTCATTATTTATATTTATTTTGGTATTTAAAATTAAAATCCTAAACTAATTTAAAAAACTAATAACAAAGTTTAAGAATATTTACTTCATATATACTGTCCCTGGGTTTAGCAAGTACAGTACTATATGGAGTAAATATCTGTTGAGATTACAGAGTTTTTTGTTCGCTTTTCTGTCAATTATTCAAATAATCGATACACAATTTCCTTTTTTTGAAGAATCCGATTTTCGTTTGTTTTTTATAACAATCAGAATTACGTAACATATTACTAGTGCAGGAGCTCTGAATTCGCAGGCCGAGTAGTCCTAGGTCCACCCATTGTTTTCCTGTTAAAACTCATACTTAAAATGTAAATAAGAAGCATAAATTAATAATTTTTATCACCAATTCTTTCATGTATGATGTGTATGATAAGAACAAATATAAGAAATAAGTAAGGAAATTAAGTATCAAATTTAAATGGTTATTTTTACTCAATAATTAAAATAATTCGTCACTAAAATTAAAAACTGCAAATTTGTGCAGACTTTAATAATTAGAAATAAATAATTAATTAATTTAAAGGAACTAGAACGTCTATATTAGTAAGAGTCTAAGTGCAGTTCTGGTCCAAATATTTTCTACATCTTTTCAGCTACTGAAACAAACATACGAAGACAAATAGTATATAAAAAAGCATGAGTTTACACAACGATATTGTTATTGCATAAATCTTCTTCAATTTCATAGAGAAGTTAATGTGTATTTATGAAAAACTAGTCGTTTGGAAAAGGTTTTTTGTACTGTACAAAGGAGTCGAAATCCAATTCAGAGTACTTCTCGATTTACTTCATTTGGAGTTAATGTATTATCTATAAGCACTAACCACTCATCAAAATAAGAATTGCTTTAGATGCGAATAAATATTTCCATGAGCCTCAGCTTGTCAATTTCCTTCGAAATGAAAATACATGGACTGCAAGCCAGATCTCTATATCTGAATCCAAGAGAGACTGGCGACATACTTTAGGAAGACGTGTTGAAATACGTCACTTGTTTCAGAAAATTCCCATTAGCTGAGTTGTTCCTTTATTTAAAAATGCAAGTAATACTTTTTCAGTTATCATACATTTTTATTAGAAGATTGTGTGAGAAATCATATTTCTTATTAGACTTTTTCTATTCGAAATTTCAAGTTTTATGATCCCGATATTTCATAATGGTGGTTTAATATCATTATGGGTATGTTTAACTATATTGGGTTTTAATCTTACAAGAATACTAGCTAATTTTGTCGTTTTTGAACACTATATAGTTCATACACACAACACAAGGCAAAAGTAAAATACTAGCTACTTCATTCCTAACTGCTGTAGATTCTCCTTCTGAGATTCCTGCATCGCGCGGACTCCGCAATTTTGTAGATTAAAACAATGCTTCTTTAAAAAATGTTAGATTTATATGTTATTTACTCCACTTTTTAAATAAAAAGTTTTGATGAAAATTAAATGATATTCGCTATAGTTTATCAACGCATTTTCTAATATCCTAGTTTGTTGAACAAATTAAAAATATAAAACATGTTTAATTTTAAGTACCAGTTATCTATTTTTAATCAATCGATTACTGGGATGCCGTGTCATTTTATAATGTGAAAAATTGCACTTTGACACCTCGTAAAGATTACAATATTTTATTTATTTAATCATTTTAAATATAAAAGTATTTCGGATAACGTACTCTTTTGAATATACTACAGTCGACCCCCATAACACTGTTGATTTTTCCGTTTTATATGAATTGCATGTCGTACGAGTCATTTAATTTTACAAATACGTGAGCCATTCACAGCCAAGCACACGTATTTTTAAAATCTAAGTGACTCGTACAACATGGAATTCATATAAAATGGAAAAATCAACAGTATTATAGGGGGGTCGACTGTATTTTACTTTTCTATTTTATTTTATTTTATAAAAGTTTGTTTTTATCCCTCTTCCTTTCCCTCGTGGGGGGAATTTCCAAAAATCCCTTCTTATTGTGCATTTTCATGACGTACCCGAACTGTGTATCAAATTTCAATTTTCAACTTTTAATCGTTTGGGTTCTGCCGTTATTATTATTATTAACCCATCTCGATTTTATTATAAGATAATAGAATTCTATTAATTGAATAATAATTATATTAAGAATATTGCATTTATGTTTCAAACTTCATTTCCGGATTTTAATTTTGAATGCCAATATATATTATTTTATTTAAAAGATATATTTTGTAAATAATACTTATTTAATAAAAAGTATTACTTATAATTACATTTAAAAAGCAAATATTATATTTTTAGGGGCATATATGTGCTTACATAGTATAAATACCGATCATTGCCACGATAAATGCCAAGTTGCATGCCAGTGAGTAAAAATTTTACTGTTAGAGAATAAACATAAAATGTAACAGTAACTTAAATTTTTGAAAATAATTTTCTAAATATTGTTTGTTTACATTTAACATATATTTAGTTATCTTTAAAAACATTCATATACTTTACGATATCATATTATTGTCAAAATTAAGAAAATTATAATAATTTCATGTGATAAATACAGTAGACTTTTGCTACTTCGGTCTCCGACTGTGATCTACCAGTAAATCATGTGAATGGCATTCCAAAATTACGCCACTTATCGAAACTAAAACTTCACACACGTTTGTCAGGATTCTAATTGTGTAGAAGAATAAAGAGAATTAACCACGACAGCACTCCAGCCAAATGGACAGTGAGTTGGGATAACGAAAAATTATGAGAAAGGGTAAGAACGACAAACTTGATGAGGCAGTTTACAAACGGTTCGTATAGCAACGCATTGAAAGCCTAACTGGCAGTGGCCCGATAATAAAAAAAAAACAATGGTGTTTAACAAAGAACTTAGCGGCGATAAAATGTTTACAACAAGAGAGGGCTGGATATCAAACTGGAGTTTAGTAGCTGACAGTGACAATATTTTCAGCACACTACCGGTAGATTATCCTTCTGAAGAGAAAGTGTGGATGGACTTGGAAATTTTCTCTCTATGGTTCCATGATAACTTCGTACCAACTGTAAAGGGAGAACTTAACAAAAAGAAACTTCCGTCAAAAGTCATCCTTCTAATTACGCTTCCAGCTATCTCCCTCCAGCCTTTGCTTTATAGATTCATTTGAATTTTATACAGAGCTTTACATGTTTTTAATGATAAATAGTTCATACAAAATTGAAATGATAAGAGAGGTTAATTTATGACTTATCTATAGACACTGATATCAGTGATTATTGTTACTGTTGTTCGGCTAGACTTTTGTTCCTTGTAGTATGGTTAAAGAATATAATTTTATATTCGATAAAAAATTTTTAATATTTATTATTTTTATTAAGTATTAAATTTATTAAAGATAAATTCAGAAATTTTAACGCTTTCGGCCATCTCTCTGATTTACCTCTGAAATCAGATGATATACAAGCTGGCTTTATCCCACTAAATACGATAACTCTACTCTAACCTATGGATTAGGGAATTTTGGAATTAATTAACATCGACATACAATTCTTACCTTCTTATTGAATGAATGCGAAAACGATTCTACTGAAGCCATGCTGAAGGTAGAGAAAGCGATCAACATGCGTGATGTTGTCTTTCAAACAGCAGTACCATATGGAACATTGAGGAATTGGAAAAAGCGTCATTCGAATGACACTGAGTAGTACTCTCATCGAGTGATACTGAGTCAGTCAACTCACAACTATTTCCGGATGTAGTATTTGTTGATATATATCAATAAAAATATTCTAAAAAGAATCGATGGAGTCAGATAATCTATTTTTTTATATTATTATTACCGTACTGTACTAATCTTTAGTACACGGAAAACTACTAGTTTTCCATTCGTTTCTGACTTTTGGAGGCTTAATAAGTCCCGAGTCCGTAGACTGGTATAAAAAATTAAANTTGGTGGTTTTATAGGAATTTGGTTGGGAATATCTCTAGTTGCGGTGTTCGACTTTTTCGAAGTTATCTCCATTTACTTATATCACACTATAAGAGTTAAAATTTATAGCTGGAAAAATAATCTAATATGATATCATATTATTTTAAATCTTCTAAATGGTGTATCTTACATTGTTAAATACAAGAAAACAAGCTGATTTAAGCTGTATATTTTCTCTGTGGTTACTATCCAAAGCGATTGACGAAATAGGGCAACGCCACAGTGTGATTTAAAGTTTTTCCGCACTGGGCGTAAAAACGACAGGCGCTTCCACCAACGAAATAACGACGTGGGCAAATCAATCCAGCAACTTAAGGGTGACTGTCGCACTATATAATCCATACCTAGCTAACACCGGAGAGAGAAATATTGCCTATTCAGAATACAAGTAAAATGCGCGGTTAGTAGAATCGTAATGGCCGAAACACAGTCTAAAAGAAGTAGGCGATAGAAGAGTAATCATCACAATCAATATATAATTTATATTAACGCAATGAAAACTTTTATAAACTGTAGGAAAGTTTAAAATATCCTAAAAGTGTTTGACGAAGCACGCATTTTACTTTTCAACTCTTCTTCAATAGCTTTGTAGAGTTTCCATTTTGTTTAATAGTAGCGTGTTAATGAAAAATGTCCTGTGATATTTCGGTGTAGACGATACTTAAATTAAAAAAGCCGTGTGTGTTATGCCAAAAATTATACATATATACAAATTTTGAGTCTACGCTGCTATATAAAGGACATTATATAAAATTTTACTAGTAAGATGTAAGTAATAGAGTAAAGTTTGAAAGAAGTAGCGGGAGAATAAAGTCGAAGGTAATCTTTGCTTAATCTTTGCATAATTTGGCCACGAAAATGAAAAATAAATAAATATAAGTTATTTGTGTGGAATAGAAGAATTAATTTACTTTTTTTATTGTTGTTATCGTTGTTACGAAATACATTGTCGTTTGCATTGTTGAAGGTTAAATGATGATTTTTACAATAAAAATGGAGATTTTAGGGGGTTGGAAAGGGGCTACATTGTCGTCGACCAAAAAACTTGGTTGAGAAGTGCAAGAAGCGTGTGTATGTGTAAAAAAATGAAACGACGTACAAGAACACAGTCTGGTGCATGGTTCGTGTTTACATATTTTCTATTTTTGGTTTACTTGTGATCGAAGGGGTTCTTCCAACGGGACAGTGGGCCCCAGGGTCACCGATAAAGCGAAAATCCCGACGGGGGCCCGTAGGGCGGCTCAAAAACGGGATGTGCCCTGGAGAGCGGCTCCGCTAACAAAGGGGCCTGCAGGGCGGAACCGGAATCCGTATCCGGAAACCAGTAATCCGTATCCGGAAACCAGGAAACCGGAATCCGGAAACCGTAATTTTACACGTTACGGGCATCCACAATTTTTTAGAACCCATATCTACCTTCAAAATTAAACGTTTTGCTTTTCTATAATAATAATTAATATAAAAATTATTTTTTAAATACAGTCATATCAAGGCCACTTGATCGCTTCGCTAGTAAGGCCGTCCGCCAACTATCTCTGTCAATGAGACCGAGAGTATAGACGCTAGTTAATATTTTCTCCGCTTGTGGCGCTGACGATCGGTGATATCCATCGTCAGCGATTCAGGTGGAGAGTATAGAGGAGTTTGGAGAAGTCGCTGCATTTAAATATTTTTCTCATTAAAGGAGGTTGAAAACTTTTGACAATCAAGAAATGAGCTGCTGCAAACGACGTTCCCTAGTTTGTGAAAAAAACGAAATAATAATACAGTATTTTTCACAATTTTATTTTCATAAGACGTTTTTAGGAAGAAATAATAACTGAGTATTATTGGCATGGAAAATACAAACTTTTTCACATTAATACTATTTAATCATCTCTTTTCGATTCTTAAAGATACCAGTAGTTAATCGTTAATGTAAATNTCAGAAACCCTACTGAAGAGGCCTTGACAGGCGAAATGCATTTGGGGTGAAGTATATATTTATATAAAAATAAAATTATATTTTCCTTGTTAACCTGTTTACCTTTTTTAATTTTTTATACCAGTCTACGGACTCGGGACTTATTAAGCCTCCAAAAGTCAGAAACGAATGGAAAACTAGTAGTTTTCCGTGTACTAAAGATTAGTACAGTACGGTAATATAAAAAAATTTGTTGATATGTTCCGCAAGCTTGTAGGAGAAGATGATGAACAGGTCTTTACTAATTAGTAAATAAGGAATATTATGCAATGAACAGATAAAGAAATCTGCCTCTGTGATGTCCTCTTCCACGTCACTTTCATCTTGCACACAGAAGTGTGCAGGATGAAAGTGACGTGGAAGAGGGCACCACAGAGGCAGAGAAAACGAAGATTTCTCACACTGCTGATGCCGACGCTGCAGACATTACCTTGCAGTACAAAATGCAAGAACTAGACATACGAGTACCGTTGTAAAAGCGTGTCATCGAAAAACAACTTCATTAAAACAAGTAAGAATCTGTGACATTTCACGAAGTGACTACTCTGAATAGAAGATGCAACATTTTAATTGTACCGTTTAATTTTAAATTTCTTTTAATCTTTACAAATACCGTCTCTTATTTATTTTTTTAAATACATGTATATTATAGAGTCTATAATATAGACAGTAAATATGAAACATTAAATTTACTAAAGAATTAAACATACATTTTTTGTTTTGGCAGNTTTAATAAATATAACAATTAATCTTGTCAACCTTGAAAATTCCACATGATCAGCGCGTTGGACAGGCATGAACCCGAGATCAATACCAATATTCGGTGGTTTTATCCACTCGGCCATTGCTGAGTCTTTTTTCTACTTAGATAATTCAAAATTTTCAAAAATCTTCATTATAAATAAATGAATAAATATTAGAACGAGAAATGTGCTGAAGAATTCCGTCTTAATTTTATATGTGCTGTGTAGTACACCCTCGATTTACGACGAAAAATTTCTATTGAGTAGGAAAAATTTTAAATTTTTTTATTAGGGAATAGAGCAGATAAAAAGGTTTAAAAGATCTAAAAGGTTTATACTAAAAGGTTGGATTAAAGAGTCAATGAATACAAATCACTCAATATACACCATAATACATTTTAACAAATCTTACATATTTTAAGTTAGTTATTAATATATNAAAAGTACAAAACGACCAATTTACTCAACAGACGATTCTCACCGATAACTAGCGCCAAAATCTTTCGCAGCTGCAAAAAATGGAAACATTGTGAATACGGCTATTTTCCTTACAGCGGACGGCCTTACTAGCGAAGCGATCAAGTGGCCTTGGTCATATAATAGATGACGCTACAGATTCTTCTCGTTACCTTTAACCTCTTGTTCGAGGCCGGGAAGATCAGTAAGAGCTCTTGGCAGCTTTTTTCTAATTTACACTAAATTTAATTCAAAGAACAAATGTTATTTATTATTCTGCACCTTTGGCACTTAGCCTTATGTTTTTACTGTATTCTGGCTTAAAAACAAGTAAAGTTAGAATGCCACTCTTTTATTTATCAGAGGTAAAGAGGAGTTTAAAAGAAGTCATTTACAATTAAAATTTATCATTAAAATATTCGAAAAAGCTACTTACCTATACAAATAATAACATACTAACAATAATATACTTATAATGTGTTAAATTACATAACATTTTCTTTCAAAAGTTGAACTAGGTACAGGTTATCTATAGCCTAATGAAGGTTACTGGGGAATGTCATTACACTACAACAGATCGCAACTTGACACACTAGAAGCAGGAAGATTTTATCAACTTTATTTTTGGAGAAAAGTTACATCTTATAGGCCATACGAAACGATAATTAGTTAATTATTTCATCTGCATTATATTAGACACAAAAAATAAAGAATAAATCTTCCAGTTTCGTGTATATGACTTTTCTGCAAATTATCTCACTCATAATGGAAACCGACCTCACCATACCAGTATGTAATATAATAAAACGATAAATAAATAAATCTAATTTTATAGACCGTATTATAAGTTTACTACGTGTTTATTCTAATTTTCCTCTATACTAGCGATATTAGTAAAATCATTGATGATATCATCAATGATGTTACTAATATCGCTAGTATAGAGAAACAAAACTGTTATAATATATTTTCTTAACGGAATTATTAGACGAAAACACCTGTGAAAAACAGGTGTGCCCTAGTTAGAAGATGAAAACACCTGCGAAAAAACAGCTTGGGAAAACAGCTGTGCCCAAGTTAAAAGACCAAAAAACTGCTGTGTTCCCATGACCTTCAAAGACAGCACAGCTGAACTCTTAGAAGACAGCACAAAGAAAACAAACAGGGTTTGTAGGTCAGTAGCTGAGGATAAAAGCGAGTGAATTTTTCCAGAACTTCACTCATTGACCAACTTTTCTACCAATAACGTCACTCATCAACCAGCTTTTCTACCAAGAACTTCACTCATCTAAAAGAAAATCATGTCGGACATTGGTAAGTGATTTTTATTTTAATAATAATACCTACCTTAATTTAGATTATAATTTTTTTATAAACTAATTGTAGAATTTGATTTTGATTTTGAAAAAAAAATAATAAGAAAAGAGGTCCTAAGCCTAAAACAGCCGAGGGTGGCGAAAATAAAAAGACAAGATTCGATTTGGATCTAACGGCTGAGAAAAGTAAGCAGATAAAAGTTCCAGACTTTAAAATTAAGATTAGCGAATCTGAGAGAATCGAGATACATGAATTTCAGTCGAATTTCTATGTATNTTGTAGGAGAAGATGATGAACAGGTCTTTACTAATTAGTAAATAAGGAATATTATGCAATGAACAGATAAAGAAATCTGCCTCTGTGATGTCCTCTTCCACGTCACTTTCATCTTGCACACAGAAGTGTGCAGGATGAAAGTGACGTGGAAGAGGGCACCACAGAGGCAGAGAAAACGAAGATTTCTCACACTGCTGATGCCGACGCTGCAGACATTACCTTGCAGTACAAAATGCAAGAACTAGACATACGAGTACCGTTGTAAAAGCGTGTCATCGAAAAACAACTTCATTAAAACAAGTAAGAATCTGTGACATTTCACGAAGTGACTACTCTGAATAGAAGATGCAACATTTTAATTGTACCGTTTAATTTTAAATTTCTTTTAATCTTTACAAATACCGTCTCTTATTTATTTTTTTAAATACATGTATATTATAGAGTCTATAATATAGACAGTAAATATGAAACATTAAATTTACTAAAGAATTAAACATACATTTTTTTGTTTGGCAGTAATCCGACACTCTTACTAATCCGGTATTCATCTGTGGAACGAATGGCCAGATTAGCAAGAGTCGACTGTATTTTTGTTATCGTGCGAATATACGATAAAACACGCGTAAATCGCAATAACACGTTACTGAATATTGTCCGTTTTATTGACGTTCTGCTTTCGACAGGTCTCACTGTATTATTTTATATTTTACACAATAAGTAAATTACATGTATATTAGAAATATTTTTGAAATTTGTGTGTAATGTATCTGTATGATGATTAAAATATGCCAAATTTTCAGAGCCACTGTTTTTGAATATGAAGTAGACGATACTCCCATCGAATTTTACGACGTAAGTCTAACAATGAATATTTTTTTTTGCATAATTTGTTCGGATTATTTCAAAAACGCCAATTTTTTGTGATTGTTTCAGTTTGATGTTCCTTTGGAAACTACCGATGAAGATAAGAATAAAGAGTATAGGTATAATATATCATAAATATATAAATATAATATGCAAATTTTATTTATTAAGTTTTCGTTTTTCGTTTAGCAGAAAACAAGAGCAAGTAGCTGTAATGAATTTCTTCTTTAATAGGCCGGAATTATTAATATATAAATACAAACCAAAATTTCAGGTAATAAAATGTCGTAATTTATGTAATAAAAATTATATACATAGTGTACGTATACAAAGTAATTCAAAAATCACTCACAAGTTTAAAATTTTCGAACCTAAGCGGATATCACAGAATTACTCAGAACGATATTGGAAGTTTTACCTGCAAACAATTTATACTAAATTTAGTTATAATTACTGTTAGTAGGTGGTGGCTGTTCACAATAAGATCATAACATTATCGCACTTCCGAACGGGCCGCATAGTCGGAAACTTAGTCCTAATAACAAACTACTACTTGCAGTACATTACAAAGGTGATAAAAAGAGAAATATACAGAAGGAGAAGTGAGCTGCAAACAGAACCTGATCAGCCCATTTCGTTTATATAAGAGACACTAGTGCCAGAAGTTGCAACTAGAATTCCCGTAGTATGTAGGTATGGAATTTTTCTACTAAAACCACGTGGATAGTCCATTTGTCACACACGAACCCGCTTGTAATTACAAGCAAGATCCTGTCTGACAAATTGACTATCCGCGTGGTTTTAGTAGCTACGTATGACCAATCGACTGTCTACGTGGCCACTAAAAGTAGAATTACAAGTGGTTTTATCTAAGCCATTGGTGGGTAAGAATTTCGGGTTATTCTATATTTTGTTTTTCAGTTTTTATAAACTGCGGTTTAAAAGATATCATATTTTATGAATTTTCTTCACAGTTAGATCATTATTGCTTCACGTTTTATAGCATTTAAAGAGTTTAAATTAAACTTAATAATTGTTAATATAAAATGAAAAGAAATAATCATATATTTCTATTAAAATTTATTTTATAATTACATATTACATGTCAATGAAATGATTAAATATTAATAACTGTTATATTTTTCAGTCAATAGAATTATTCAGTTACATCGGTGGATACATTGGAATGTGGCTTGGAATATCATTGATTGCCATCTGCGATTTGTTAGAAGTGATCACTGTTTATATTTATCATATAATTACCAGAGATATTCCTAATATAGAAAATTATTAAAGGTACTATAACTAAATTAGAAAGACTTCGCTTTATATACATATATTTAATAACTGGTGCTTTAATTTATAGATAAAATTTAAGCAATTTAAAACTTTTGCATATTCCCCCCTATTTTCCTATATAAAATCAATTTGAGACACAAATGATACAACTCAGAGTATAGAAATAAATATCTGAATGTTTTAATTATATAATTTTATATTATACAAAATTTCTGGAAAATAAATCAATGTTTATAAATTTATATATTTTAATTATCTTTTAATAATTGATTCAATTAATTGCATAATTGTGTTTTATAATTACGATTATTTTCTCGAATACGATTGCTAATACAACGTGATGTTACATGTAATATAGCATCATATATTATTAGCTTTATACAATAAAACATTTCGAAAATGTTAATGTATAACTTAATAAATATTGCGTACCATTTTCTATTTACGTGAATTTTTTAAAATGTTTCTTTTATCAAAATTAATAGAAAATTACAATATATTTAAGATGTGTAAATTAAAATTGTCTTCTGAGTGGTTCTTGACCTCTGATGAAGGTCGGATTGGAAGGACATAGCAAATTTATTGATCCCCTTTTTGGTGGTTACGAAAATAAGAGATTGTATCCGGATAATATTGTTGATATTAACTTTATAGTAAATTGCAATGAGAAGTTAACTGATTTTTACTCTTACTACTTTTATTAACTGAGTTAATGATACAAAGATGATATATTAATTAATTGTGATATTTTATTATGATTCACGTGAACACGAAGACAATTATAGAAAACCAACAAATGCTATTCTGTAATTTTTGTCTGAAATTAAACTTATTTATATTGTTAAAATGTTTATTTTTATTCACTTTACAGTATTATAAAATTTACGATTACAATAATAACACTGAACATAGTTTCTTCGAAGAAAGTTACTTTTGTTTGCTTTAAACATGATTTAATAAGAACTCGGGTGCAAACCCGTGTTCTTATTAAATCATTGACGTATCCAGGATTTTCATAAAATAAGTAACGTTAGGCTGATAATGTAATCTGTCATTAATTGTATAGGCCTATATTTCCCTATACACTGAAATATACTTGTAGCATCAAAACCTTGCGCGATAGAGCGGAAATGGGCCACTTTCTTAACGCTTTGAAATTATCCATTCTGCAAGGAAAAACAAGCGACTGTTGTAAAAATAGAACTTGCATTAATTAAAAATTGTCTTAATTTCAACTAAATCGTAAGTAAGAAATATATAAAGTAAATCGTTTATGTAAAATTAATTTTAAAATGTAATGAAGATTTATGATAGAGGATTGTAGAAAATAATCGTTGAAATTATAGTCTAATAAAAATTTCAATGTCAGAAATCAATATTATGATAAAATCTTTAAATATACTAATTGTAATTTTATCAGCGATTTTTAATGTTCGATATATAATTTAAAAAATCGGTTTGTACAAATTATACAATTCTGTCTATTGTCATAACACAGAATATTTGTGAAAATAGAGAAATTCTATGTTTGTTTTATAAAGGCAATGTTGCGTATTAACGATCACTTGGCACAATTCATTCTTTTATTTCAATATTCGTTGATATGCGTTTTTACACACGTTTCGGGATTCATTTCGCCCCTCTTCAGTCAACTAAAACATATAAAACCAATTTTACATACACTATAACCCGACATATGAATTTAAAAAGTTGTGAATTATACAAGTAGCACATAACATACCTTTAAAATCACAAATTCCATCTTTAGATGTGTATTACTACAAGCAATTATATATTTTTTTTGGATCATTTCAAATACCAGACCAAAGATTTAATCCTACTTGGTACATACAAGACCCAGACTTTCGCTACATTGCGATTATAAAACAAACAAAGATATGACACGGTTTCAAAACATGGAAGAGAGAAATTCTAATTAATTAAAGTTTAGAGTATAACGGTGTGAATTTCATATGGAATATAATGTTCAAAAATACCTAAGTTTAGAAAGTTCGTAGTCTGAACTAACCGATGAAATTGTTAAAAATAATGAAAATCTCAGAATAACGCTTGAAATCAATGACTTTAAATCGCACAAACTGAAAATTCGACCGCTCTCATCTACAACAAAATACCGCTGGCAACAAATTGTCAGACTTTAATTGTTGCCTCGCCACGAAATCTATATCTATATCTATATCTATATCTATATATACAATCGAGACGAGTTGATAATAATAACAAGTGCAGAGTCCAAACGGTTAGGAGTTGAAAGTTAAAATTTGGTGCACAGTTAGCTTACGTCACGAAAATGCACACTAAGAAGATATTTTTCGAAATTTCTCCCCACGGGGGAGAGGGACAGGATTAAGGTTTAACACTTCCATCAACAATGGAAGTGTTAAGTAAGAATGGAAGTGTTAAGCAACAATGGAAGTATTAAGTAACAATTGAAGTTTTAGGTAACAATGGAAGTGTTATGTAACAATGGATTTGTTAAGAGAAAGCGATGTGGAAGACGCAGATACAGTTTTTTTCGTTTTTGCGGGAAATCGAACATATTTTACACCCATCTAAAAATTCTCTAATCAGTCCGGAAACAGGGGGACCCAATTCTGGCATTCTGTGAAAACGGGTAAAACTGACTATAACGTAATAATGTTAATTTTTCCTATCGTTACTTTTGCCCGAGCAACGCCGGGCCTACCTGCTAGTCTGTATAGAAAAATGGATGTGTTTGTCCCTATATTTCACTCTGCAGCCAAAACTACGCATTGCACACGAATGATGTTTGTGTGTGGTAGTAGCCCAAAGTGTCCCATCGTGCACTATAGTGGTTGCGTGTCAATAGCTATAAGGGTGTGTGAGATATGGGGGTTGAAAGTGGTTGACTTCGAAAATATATAACAATAGAAGTGTTAACAATGAAAGTGTTAACAATGGAAGTGTTCAGTAACAAAGAAAGTGTTAAGAGAAAACGGCGTGCAAGATTTACAGGCGCAGATGCGGTTTTTTGCGTTTTTGCGGGAATTCGAACATATTTGTAGACCCATGTAAAAATTCTCTAATTAGTCTGGAAACGGGGAACCTAATTCTTTCATTCTGTGAAAACTGGTAAGATTGGCTATAATTTAATCTTAATCTTAATCTGAAATGTTTTGGAATAGTCGAGGACCGTTATGTGTGAATAGTGAGGATGGCTTTTGGAGACGTGTGACGCACACGCTTCAGTTGATTTTTCATAAGTAGAAGTATACGAATAACAGAAAAAAGTAGAAAGTGAAAAGTGAATAGTGAAGTGTGAAAAGTAAAAATATAAAAAAAAATAATAATGCCAAAGCGTAAGAAAGAATTTTTGCGGTCTCGAATCATATCTCAAAGGCAAAAGATGGCGCGGAGAAATGAAATCAGGGAAGAAAGAGAAGTACAGTACTTCTAACACTACTACGAGAAACAGAAATAATCAGACAGAAGAGCAACTTGAAAATTATAGGAAAAATTATAGGGAAATTATAGGGAATCAAAGAAAGATTATGTAGAGGAAGAGAAACAGTCTTTTATATATATATAAACTATATTACATATAAATGTACGAACAAATAAAAATCCAGAGAAGCGGGTACTTGCAGCTAGTTTAATATAAAACGTTGGGATTTTTCAGCGAATTTCAGTGATTTTTGCGCCTGTCTGTGGCTGAAGAGACGGATTATCGCCGATCATTCCTTGCATGTACTATACAGTACATTCATGTTAACAGTAATATGTATTCGAAAATGTAATATTCTGGTGTTTCGTGTTCGTGTAAAGACGAATAAAAATTTCGATATTATGATGATCCTTCCAATCGAAAAATGAATAGACTTCCTGTCTATTAAACCTCCTTTTGTCTACTTTGTTGTAATTAGAAACTTCATTTTAGATGTGTTAAACTACGCGTTAGACAAAACAAAAGAGGAAGTACACTGCTAATACGATTATATTTATGTTAGTTTTCTAGGAGTATATCATGTTGCGTACACGTGGTTATTTCGTGATAACGCGCTGCTAATTTCGTGAGAAGATCTTATAGCGTATATATTTAAATGCAATTTGAAAGAATTGTACACTTAAAACTGCGTACTGTCGTTTGTCTGTATGTTAGTCTCTCTTTGTTCAGACTCGAGAAATGAGTAAGATAGATGAAAGACCAGACCACATATGGAAAGCTTAGGAGCAAAACTCCCTGATTAACTATATAATAGCTTCCGTTGTAAACCAGAAGTCACGTTATTTCAATTCGAAATTTTTCCTCTGAAAGTGTTCGTGTTCGGGAATAATCGTAATTCGGGAAAATTAATCTCCTAAAATTTATGAAATTTAGCCAAAAAACAATTGTTTTAAAGGAAAACAAACTTTTATTTAATAAAATATAAGTAAAATTCTGTGTAAATGGAAAAATATTGATATCATCCAATGTTATGCGAAGTTTAAATTTTATACAGTAACAAGAAATGTTTTCATTTGATCATTAATTTATGTTTTACGTAAAGAATACGAGCAATTATTTATTATGACATTGTCACAATGCCAGGTTGCAATTTTTTATCATAGTTTGAATTTATTTAATTTAAAATATATGCTTTCCACCTTAAATTAATACTGTAGTGTCTTTCTCCTGTATATCATACTTTTCCTTTAACAACAGAGTCGTGCCGGTCATCTATTAACTGCTTTCAGGGGAAAGATTTTAATTGAAACAACGTTACCTTCAGTTTGTATCGGATGTTCATATATAGTTAATTGGGGCCTCTTTGACCTATGGTTCTATAATTAATCTCAATTTTTATTTCTACAGCTCTCTTCTCGAGATTAAGGAAAGACAGTCGGACAGACGGGCGGACGACAGTGGGAATTTATAAGTCTACAATGTTTTTCAAATTGCTGAGCAATAAGAGGATAATTATGACAACGGGCCAAATTTTCACTCTTTTTTTTTATATTTCTTGATGTTTTGATACCTCAGATGTACAAAAACATAAACGAAATTTCTTAAAAAATTCTATATTATTTCTCCACGTGGGGCATTTATTGATGCTATTAAATTTTGAATACAATTTTGAAACACAACACAATGGATTTTAAAGAATTAAATGCTTTTTTTCAGTAACGTATCGTACAAGGAGCAGTTATTGATACAGGCTTCATTGATGGAGGAAATGCATTTCGGGTCTTAACGATCCCTCTTCAGTCCTTATACTTTACAAAAGGTAGACAGATAAGGATTATATCATACCTAATAATACATATAATATTTTAAAAAGTTTTTTTAACTTACATAGTTGATTATTGATTACAAATTGACATTAAAGAAAATATTGGTTAATTGACTGGGTAGTATCTGTTTATAAGGGTTGCTGTATAAGATAAAATAAAGGAGGATACGTAAAACAGTTATAAAGTAAATAAAGTTTAAGATGGTTACGTTATAAATTTATATATATTGTTATTACCTAGAGATGATACATAATTCAGCTAGTTTAAGACCAAAGCACGAACCCATAAAGATACCGTAAGATTGTCTAAAATTTATTTATTACAAGTAAAATAATTATTATTTAAAACAAATTGAACCAGTTCAATTACCCAATTATCACAGTTTAAATTTGTTAATGTATCAATTATGAAATTTTTATATATATTTTTAATGTACAGGCTTAATATTCTGCTGTTAGTATTAATATAGTTTTAAAAAGGTTTCTAATGAATTGGTGTGCATTTTTAACGCTACCATTCTTGATGAGTCTTAATGTCTTTAACTCCTATTCGAATGCCGACGTCTTGCAATAGCACTTGCCAGCTTTTCCACATTAATAAACACTATATTTTTACAAGGTCGAACAGAAATTTTTCAAAGGTTGTATAAGACGTATAATTTATATAATTAAACACCTACTAATTGTGTGTATGATTCTTGTAATTTATGTGTTTCTAATTTAGTTATAGTACCTTTAATAATTTTCTATATTAGGAATATCTCTCGTAATTATATGATAAATATAGACAGTGATCACTTCTAAGAAATCGCAAATGGCAATCAATGATATTCCAAGCCACATTCCAATGTATCCACCGATGTAACCGAATAATTCTATTGACTGAAAAATATAACAGTTATTAATATTTAATCTTTTATTGACACGTAGTAAGTAATTATAAAATAAATTTTAATAGAAATATGTGATTATTTCTTTACATTTTATATAAAAAAATTATTAACTTTAATTTAAACTCGTTAAATGTTATGAAGATAATTAAACATTATTATAAAAAGTTTTAAATCTTTTTATGTGAAGCGTTAATGAGATAACTGTGAAGGAAATACGTGAAATCTCATATGACTTTTAAATCACAAATTAGGAAAACTGTAAAATTAAATATAGAATAGCCCGAAATTCAGACCCACCAGTGGCTCAGTAGATAAGTGGCCAGTCCATTGATCAGACGTAGCTACTAAAATCGTGTAGACAGTCCATCGTATGGATAAGCAAGATCCTATCTGACAAATGAACTGGCCGTGTAATTATTCGGGTTTCCTTCACGTGTCCAACACTTAAATTCTCATAAAAGTCTTTTCGGGAGGCATCTCCGTTTGACAGACCATCCCTATATAACGTCACCTTATTCCAAGAATGGATAAACAAATTCAGCATTTACAGAATGTACAATACTTTAAAAATATTCCATGCCTAACATACTCGAATTCTACTTGCAACTTCTAGTATTAGTGACTCTTATGTAAACGAAGTGGGCTTAAGTTCCTTTTGCAGGTCACTTCTACTTCTGTATATTCTTCTTTTTATCACCTTTGTAATGTACTGCAAGTGGTGGTTTGTTATTAGACCTAAGTCACCGAGCTATGCGGCCCGATCGCAAGTACGATAATGTCATGATCTTACTGCGAACATTACCAGCTGCTGATAGTTATTATAACTAAATTTAATATAAATTGTTTGGAAGTAAAATTTCCAATATCGTTCTAAGTGTTTCTGTGATAACAGCTTATGTTTAGGTTCGAAAGTTTTAAATTTGTGTTATTTTTGAATTACCCTGTACATGTACACTATGTATATAATTTCTATTACATAAATTACGACATTTTATTACCTGAAATTTTGGTTTGTATTTATATATTAATAATTCCGGCCTTTTAAAGAAGAAATTCATTACAGCTACTTGCTCTTGTTTTTTGCTAAACGAAAAATGAAAAGTTAATAAATAAAATTTGCATATTATATTTATATATTTATGATATATTATACCTATACTCTTCATTCGTATCTTCATCGGTAGTTTCCAAAGGAACATCAAACTGAAACAATCAGAAAAAATGGCGCTTGTGAAATAATCCGAACAAATTATGCAAAAAAATATTCATTCTTAGACTTACGTCGTAAAATTCGATCGGGGCATCGTCTACTTCATATTCAAAAACAGTGGCTCTGAAAATTTGGCATATGTTAATCATCATACAGATACATTACACACAAATTTCAAAAATATTTCTGATATACATGTATTTTAGTTATTGTGTAAAATATAAAATAATACAGTGAAACCTGTCCAAAGCAGAACGTGAATAAAGCGGACACTTGCCAAACAGGAAACTATTCAGTACCGTGTCATTCCGATACTGTACTGTATTTTTGTTATCATGCGAATATACAATAAAACATTTACACATGTTTTATTGTATATTCGCATGATAACAAAAATACAGTACAGTATACTCTTGCTAATCTGGCCATTAGTTGCACAGATGAATACCGGATTAGTAAGAGTGTCGGATTATTGACAAACAAAAAAACGCATGTTTAATTCTTTAGTAAATTTAATGTTCTATGTGTACTGTCTGTAATATACATGTATTTAAAAAATTAATAAGAGAATGTATTTGTAGAGGGAAAGTTAATGTTAGTGTTTCTAAAAGCTGCATTGATTAGCTGTGAACGCGATAAATATTTAGCATAAAATGTATAGAATATAATGTAAAAGCTTTAATAAAAAAATTGAAAATAGAACCAAACGGTAACGATGCCTTATGCGCTGCCATTATTATCGTCGGAAATTGAAGTAATTTACATCCAAATAACTTTAAACACAAAAGCAGAGCCCGACGAGAGGGAGGGAACGATTAGGTAAAATTTCCCAGATGCAGTATTTAAGCATGATGCTTGGACATTATTGCACAATTATTTTTCTTTACTAGTTATTGAAATATAAAATGCTTAACAATAATAATTATTCTTGACTTTGTAGAAAGTAACATATCCTTGAAAGATCCTCAAAATAAAAAGTAAAATTTCAAATAATTTACATGAAACCCATGTAAATTTCTCCTTTTCGGGCACGGTGACTTCTCTTCACGCCCAGCACAAAAGTAATTAGAAAATGCAGTATTAAACAAAATCTGCATATATTTTTAAAGTAAAATGCGTTGTAAGTACTGAAAATCAAGGATTAAGGTGGCAGCCTACCGCTCTGGGGACCCGGATTCGAATCCGAACAGGTCGAAAGATCCCCAGGAATTTTTGGGGGTGGTCCGTCTGGATATGTCAGGCACCCGGCCATCCCAATATGGGTCTGGTCAAACCCATAATGGGCTTACTAAAAAGAGTTAAAGATTAGCTCACATTGTGAAATTGTCACATCAACCTTTCCGGATGATGAACGGTGTTCCCATATTCAGTGTAATGTATATGTGAAATATTACTTTATATTTTAAAGTAAAATACATGATAAATATAAGTAAACATTTATTTAGAAAATTATTTTTGGAAATTTAAACTACAATACTATTAGAATTTATGTTTACTCACTGGCATGCAACTTGGCATTTATGAAAACAATGATCGGTATTTACACTGTCTAAGCAGGTATATGTTTCTAAAAAAGAAAAAGTAAAATATTTATTTTTTAAATATAATTATAAGTAATACTTGTTTAATAAAAAGTATTATTTACAAAATATGTCTTATAAATAAAATTGTATATATTGGCATTCAAAATTAAAGTCCGGTAATCAAGTTTGAAACATAAATCCAATATTCTTAATATAATTATTATTCAGTTTATAGAATTCTGCTATATTGAAAGAATTCTATTAATTTTGTAAAGTTAAAGTAAATGTCATTTGATTTTCATCAAAACTTTTTATTTAAAAAGTAGAGTAAATCACATGTAAATCTAACATTTTTTAAAGAAGAACTGTTTTAAACTACAGAAATGCACAGACCGCGCGATGCGGGAATCGGAAAAGGACAATCTACAGCGATTAAGAATGAAGCAGCAAGTATTGTTGTAGGATTAAAACCCAATATAGTTAAACATACTCATAATGATATTAAACCATCATTATGAAATATCGGGATCATAAAACTTGAAATTTCGAATAGAAAAAGGCTAATAAGAAATATGATTTCTCACACAATCTTCTAATGAAAGTGTTTGATAATTGAAAAAGTAATATTTACACTTTTAAATAAAAGAATAACTTAGCTAATGGGAATTTTCTGAAACAAGTGACATATTTCAACACGTCTTCCTAAAGTATGTCGCCAGTCTCTCTTGCATTCAAATATAGACATCTGGCTCGCAGTCCAAGTATTTTCATTTGGAAACAAATTGGCAAGTTGAGATTCAACGAAATATTTATTCGCATCTGAAGCAATTCTTATTTTGATGAGTGGTTAGTGCTTGTAAATATATTGAAATCCTGTACGTGATGAACATGTTATTTAAGATCGTACTATTGTCTGGAAAGTCATTTGTCTCTTAATAGAAGATAATACTGAGTACCATTATTAACTCCAAATGAAGTAAATCGAGAAGTACTCTCAATTGGATTTCGACTCGTTTGTACAGTCCAAAAAGCTGGTCCAAGTGTTTCATGAATACACCTTAACTTGTCTATGAGATTGAAAAAGATTTATGCAATAACAATATCGTTGTGTAAACTCTGGCTTTTTTATATACTATTTGTCTTAGTATGTTTGTTTCAGTAGCTGAAAAGATGTAGAAAATATTTGGACCAGAGCTGCATTTAGACTCTTGCTAATATAGACATTTTAGTTCCTTTAAATTAATTAATTATTAATTTCTAATTATTAAAGTTTGAAAAAATTTGCAGTTATTAATTTTAGTGACAAATTATATTAATTATCGAGTAAAAATAACCAATTAAATTTTGCGCTTAATTTCTTTGGTTATTTCTTATAATTGTTCTTATCATACACAGTTGAAAGAATTGGTGATAAAAATTATCAATTTATGTTTCTTATTTACGTTTTAAGTATGAGTTTTAACAGGAAAACAATGGGTGACCATTGGACTGCTAGGCCTCCTATTCTGAGCTTATACTGTAGTAACGTTATGTAATTCTGAATGTAACAAAAACAAACGAAAATTGGATTCTTCAAAAAAGGAAATTATGTATCGATTATTTGAATAATTTTTGTTCGCCAGAAAAGCGAACAAAAAACTCTCTACTCTCAACAGATATTTAATCTTTATAGCGTTTGCTAAACCCAGGGACAGTATATATGAAGTAAATATCCATAAACTTTGTTATTAGCTTTTGAAATTAATTTAGAATTTTAATTTTAAATATCAAAATAAATATAAATAATGAATTTTTTCGAATTTAGCAACTTAAAAATTTTTAATTACGTTCTGAACAAAATATCCCATCAGTTTCGAAAGGATAATCTCCCGAGATGCACCCACAACTTTCCAACCATTTCTCCTTCTGACAATTGAGTATGCAGCGCTATAAGTAAATATAATAAATTATAAATTTATGGTGTTATTATAAAGGTTACAAATAATTAATATTAAAAATATATATAAATTGTCCATAGAGTAAATAAATTAATAAATTTAAAATAGTCCAGTAAATGACAACCGAAGTCACTTTAAAACCGAAGAGATTTCTGTATTATTTACAAAAAAGTGACTTTGAAATGAGTTGAAAATTAAAGAAAAAATGAACTTAGATCAAAACTTCTAAGTTAGAAGATAATTTTCGTTTTCAAATAAAACATATAAAAATTTAGAATAATATTTTGTACTTAGATCTTTGTAATAGCTTTGTACGAAAAGATGAAATTAATCAATCAATTGCCGATTAATATTTTGTATACATAGACCTATATAAAATAATATTAACATTTATGAAACACTGGAACCATGCTTAGCGAGCATCTTTCATAACGAGTGATTCGTATAACGAGTAAATTGTAACGAGTGACGATAAGAGGGGAGGTCCCAGATTGTGCGTATGCTTCATCTGTCTGTGTTTAGCACTCGTTCCGCTAGCATTTTAGTGTCGCTTGTGATCACACGTCGAACTTGTGTTCGAACGTATTACGTGTAAACATCAACAACCATAATCCGTTACGTAATAAACACGTCAAATGACATGCCAAATTCTTGGACAATGTAAAGGCTATAATTAATTATTAGAAATTAAATAATTTGACTAGAGGTAGGCAGTTATGCTGCCATCTCGTATTAAATTTAATACAGTATATTGTATAATTTTCGTTGAATAAATGTTATATATATAAAATATTTGAGTATATTTCTTTTTTCGGCATGGACCGCATTATTATATTTTATATTTGTATGGAAAAAATGTTTCGCTTAACGAGTGTTTCGGATTACGAGTAAAATTCTGATACGAATTATGCTCGTTAAAAGAAGTTCCACTGTATTTATATAATATTAAAAATTAATATTTACCTGACGTGTATATAATTCATCAAAAGATTTTTCTTTAGATTGCTCGTAATAAGAGCAATTTGTGCTATAAGGATTTGTAAGTAGGTCTTCTTCTATCTGGATTTTATTTAAATTTAATTAAAGTTTAAATACATATTAATTGAATATTTAAAAAAAAACATAGGAAAGCCTGGCATACCACTTTCAATTGGACGATGTAACGATTTCCTGGCCGAACAAGAAAACCATCAATGAAAGGATTTATTATCTCATCCTTCGAGTGAACTGATACTTTAGCACCAATTGGAACTGTTGGTCGAAATAATTCTTTCGAATTAAACGTTATAACAACATCACCGACTATTTTGTGATTTGCTGTTAAAGAAACGATATTTTTAAGTTTGGTTTTGTATATTTAATAATTTCAGTAATTCCACTACCGTTAACAAACAATTAAAATATATATATACTGTACTGCACATGTTACTCTATCTTTATTACTTTAAATTAAGCAGAATTAATTATTAGAAATGCTATATACCGCAACTGCACGGAGCATCAAACAATTGAAATCTTAAGTTTCATCTATATTTTCACAGATTAATTGCATAAAAATTATAAAATAAATCTTATAATTTCAATAAAACATTAAAATAAGTAAGAAAATATATTTAATAAATACTTACAGTACATTTTTAAAAAAGGAAAATTGTTTTCAGTTATCTTCTTCGAATCGATAAGATCTAAGTCGATCGAATAACAACTTCTTATTTTCCATAATTCGTTCGCATAAAAAATACGTTTTGTAAAATTTCTAAATGTGGCCAAACAATTGCAATTAAAAATGAGTTTACTGATCATTTATTTAATAATTAACACATTTATTTAAAAAATATTAAAATATAATATTTACTTATAAATATATAAAATATCTTCTGCCATAGTTCCATAATCTTCAATAATTGAACGATTGAAATCGATGT